TGAGGTTCAATACCTACACACTTGAATACAGCATAATACTGAACTTTAGTTGTTATGAGCACACAAAATAAAACTCATTTTAAATGTGTTGAACTGAAAAAGCAGAGAAATTATTCCCTGAACCAGCAGGCTTTCTTTTTAAGGCTATTTTTCTTCCTCATTGAATGTCAACATTTACTATGAGTTACACAGACATGGGAATAATTCTAAATTTCTGACAGGAGGGACCAATGGTTCATGGCTCAGGAAAGAAAGTTTAGTCTGGAAATGCTCTAATTTAGAGAAACTTAAAGGGGAAGCATCTGAACTGAAAATCTCTAAAGTGCTGCTCCATTATGGCTTGTGCTGCTCTCATGTTTATTCATCCATATACATCAACAACCATTTGGACTGAGAATTTATGGTGATGAATGTTTTCTCCTCCTCCCCTACATCCTTCTTTTTTTTCTTCTTCCATTCCTCTTCCTTCTCTTTCTTCTTGTCTTCTTCCTCTTCTTTTTCTCTTCTCCTTCTCCCCCTCCTCTTCCCCCTCCCCCTCCTGCCCCTCGTCCTCCTCTTCCTCCTCTGCATCCTCCTCCTGCTTCTCTTCCTGCTCCTTCTTCTTCTTCTTCTCCTTTTCTCCTTCTTCTCCTCCTCCTCCTTCTTTTTCTTCTTCTTCCTCTTCTTCCTCCTCTTCCTCCTCCTCCTCCTCTTCTTCTTGTTCTTCTTCTTCTTCTTTCCTCCTCCTCCTCCTCTTCTCTTCTTCTTCTTCTTCTTCTTCTTCTTCTTCTTCTTCTTCTTCTTCTTCTTCTTCTTCTTCTTCTTCTTCTTCTTCTTCTTCTTTGTGTCCTCCTCCTTCCTTTCCTTCTCCTTCTTCTTCATCTCTTTTGGCAGCTTGGGATATAGTTAGTTTGAGCTAGATGGGATTATAGGATTGCTATCATCATGGTATTTGTTGTATTACGGATAGGACATATACGGATCTAAGTAATGTCTTCACTCCCAAGATATTCAAAGTTTTAAAATCCATCTAAACATCTTTGCAGTGCTATTAGTTATCTTTTATGTGATAAGAGTTATGGTGATAGGAACATATGTTTACCTGGAGGAAATTATGAAAGGTGTTAAGTACAGGGAGGTTTAAGTTATAAGAAACATCATAAAAGCATACACTTTGGCTGGGCTTGAGATGTCATTTTGCCTACTCCCATTATTCTAATGTCCACTTTAAGGTTATTAAAATGTCCTAAGATCATTCAAGACAGGGCAGTCTACATCTTCACTTTATTATCCCCAAGCCCTCAGAGATGCCACAGCTACTGAGACAAGGTCACCTAACACTTTAGAATCAGAAAGTTCTTTAAAAGCAAAGCACTCTTCTAAAAAGAGACTAAATTGCAACTGCTTCCTGTATGTGCCCATCAACTAATGTGGTCACAGAACTGTTTTAGAAACAACTTTTATCTTAGTTTTTTCCTCATCAAAGATTTTCAATTTAGTTTTTACACATTTTAATTTTTCTTAAAAAAGAATCCCCCATTTTATAATTGAATTTAATAGAAAACTAAGCTTTGCTAAGATGTACTTATATAAGAAGATAGAACAGATATACCACTATCCCACCAGAAAGGTATCATTTCTGGGATCAGGAGTGAAACAAAACCAACAGACCCTAAATTTCTCTAATAGGTATATCAATACCCACATGTCTATCCCAAAACTACACTTTTAATTAAACAGGTTTGTGTATTTGGATAACTGGGGACTTTTCAATAGTTAAGTTGGTGCCTCCTAGTTGGAAAATTAAGACCAGTGATTTCCCAACAGCTATTCTCCCAGGCTGACTGAAAAACTAATCAACTAATGCTGAGAGGTTATTAAGTAACATATTCTAGGCTTGAAAACCCATTTCTCACAATAACCGATAATGCCTTGACTTCTTTTTATTTTTACATAATTTTCTCTATTAAAACCATAGAGGTCAAGCAAAAATGGCAATAATACTAATCATGTTTAAGTAACAAGAGTACCTATTTTGCCATCAGTTATCTTGGTAGAGGAAAAGAACACTTAGCTATGTGATTTAAACAGTTGTATGTTAAAATGAATACACAATAGGCCATTGGGAATGATATAACTACAGCCACAGCACAACACACACATATACTCAGATTACTTAAATCCTGAGTGTGTTATATTCACTGCACATTATTTCTTTTTTAAAAAATTATTATTATTATTATACTTTAAGTTATGGGGTACATGTGCAGAACAGAACGTGCAGGTTTGTTACATAGATACACACGTGCCATGGTGGTTTGCTGCACCCATTAACCTGTCATCTGCATTAGGTATTTCTCCTAATGCTATCCCTCCCCCAGGCCTCCACCCCCTCACAGGCCCTGGTGTGTGATGTTCCCCTCCCTGTGTCCATGTGTTCTCATTGTTCAACTCCCACTTATGAGTGAGGACACACAGTGTTTGGTTTTCTGTTCTTGTGTTAGTTTGCTGAGAATGATGGTTTCCAGCTTCATCCATGTCCCTGCAAAGGACATGAACTCATTCTTTTTATGGCTGCACAGTATTCCATGGTGCATATGTGCCACATTTTCTTCATCTAATCTAACATTGATGGGCATTTGGGTTGGTTCCAAGTCTTTGATATTATTTCTAAATTATAGGATAGTTATAGCCTACTCCTTGAATGCTGGTACTACATTACATTTTCCAACTTTAATTATGAAATAAATATTGAAAATATGTGTTCATTTTTGCTCTAATGAAGACAACATAAATTTTAAAATTAGGATATCATAGAGGTAAGCATCACTCTCCCTGAATAAACTATACAACAAATTATAGGCCCAGTATTTTTTCTACACATGTAGTTGAGCTAATAATTCTGCTTTAAAACAAATAAAAATATGTTCTAATCCTTTATTATTCTAGCATAATTCCTAAAAGAGATGATTGTTTATATCAGAATATCCATAAATAAAGTTAAATTTGTCTCTTTAAGAGGTGTTCACCTACAAAGCCTTTAAATACCATCGATTATTCACAAGTCTTTGGCTGAGGAGGCTCATTCTGTCATTCAATAGGAATTATTTCGACTCAACAAGAATGACAAGGACGACATTTCTGCATTTGAGGTGCTTTCTGTGGATGGAGAAAGACAAGATCCACATAAGTGGAAAAATGTGAAAACACCCCGTGTGCTGCAAGTGGATATATAGGCAAAGTGGTTTGAAAAAACACAGAGAACATTGAGAAAATGAAGATGTTTGCTTGTTTGTTTGTTTAAGGGTCTCACTCTCTTGCCCAGGCTAGAGTGCAGTGGTGCAATCTTGGCTCACTGCAATCTCCACCTCCTGGGGTCAAGCGATTCTCCCAGCTCAGCCTCCTGAGTAGCTGGGACTACAGAGAAAGTGTATTTGGTAAAGGAAACCCAGCAAGAGGTGAGTGTTTTGTTTTCAAATGATGTCAAATTTAACTTGGTGGGAAATTATGAGTAGTTAATTGAAAAATTTCCCAAAGACCTAAAATTCTTGGCCTTCATTAAATATCCAAAGAATTTTAAAATGTGTCCCAATTTTAGGACTCTCGATTAGCAAAGCTTATGGTAAGAAACTCATCCCGATGACAGAGCAATTGGGGACAGAAAGGTCGGGCCTCCTTGACTCCACATGGTCCCTGAGAGATAGGGAGTGATGGCTCTATCGTAGAGCTGGGCCTTCAGGGTGGCAGAGTTGAAAGCAGGTGTATGTTGAGCACACCCCAGGGCTTGCCTGGACCTGGCAATTTGGAAGTGGTATGGCTTCCTTGGGAGAGGTGGAAGAAAATTGTTCCAATGCAGCATAAAGGCTCAGAAACATATGAGGGGTATCCACAAAGTGGTACCCAACCCTGGCTCAGACCACTATCAGTGATACCACCTCTGCAGATGAGTGAGGCACTGGGATACTGCACTTCATTAATAGGTACAAGTCCATACTCTGTTTAATAGCCCTCTTTGTTGTGACTCTGGTGGCCACTAGAAAGTTTTTACATAAGATTGCAGAGTAAGGAAACCCTCCTGCTACCAGGAGGTGACCCAGCCATTACTTCTCAAGCCCTTTGGGCATTTAGGTAAAGAAGAAATTGTCCCAAGGAGTGAGGCTGGAAAGAGTCAGAGGCCTGATGAAAAAGGGTGTGTCCACCATGCTACGGGGTCTCCACTTTACTTGTAAGCAGTGAAGAACCACAGAGGCAGGGCGCCATCAGATCAGATTTGACCAGATGTCAAATCCTTCTGAACTTTTTACTCCTTTCTGTGAAGTGGCTTAATAACTAAAACAGGCCAACTGAAAAACAAAAGGGTACCCACTTTGCATGGGCCTCCATAAAATAAAAGGAGTTTCCTTCTCTCTCTGAGTAATGCTGTGGCCTGCAATGGGCAAAGACAAAGTCCCAGGGCTGAGGGGAGATGTGCAGCTTGGAGAGAAGAGGAGAGGATCATTCTGTGGTTGGGGAGACAGGAACTGGGGCAAACATGGTCACAAAGGCATTAGCAGGCTGGGTCAGCTGGAATGCAGCTGTGAAACTCTTCCCTGTCTGTGCGGTTCAGATGCCTTCATGTCCAAACTTCACAATCCTCTGGGACCCCAGGAACCTGCATGGCCACTGGAGGGAGCACGTGCTTAGTACTGGCTTGTAATTGACTGACGAAGTGAATGAATGAATGAATGAATGAACACAGGATGGCTTCTAGAAAAAAAAAAGACCAGGGCAAGGACAGAGGGTGTGAAGATCCTGCAAAGGCCAATGATGTTAAGAGCCCAGAGCTGGGTGGTGGCTGAGGGAGTGGAGAAGAGGCAGGAGTTTTAAGAGCTATTTTGATGGGACTCGGGATTATTGACTGCCAGTGAGGACTGAGGGAGACAAATAGGTCAAAAATGACTTGAAGCTTCTGGCCTTGGCAACTGGACACTGGAGTTTAGGGAAGGTAAGAGGACACCAGGCTTTTGAGAGAGGATAACAAATTTGATTCTGATCACATGAAGCACTTTGTTTATTAGAGCATTGTTTTAACTCCCTTATAACCACGATTATCCATATTTATTACAAAAGCAATAATATCAAAGAATGCTTTAAAATGCAATTAGATTTGTTTAATATAGATAAACTGTGAGTAATGAGATTGTTTTCATCATAATATAGGTGTCACACATTTCTCCTGGTAACTAAAAAAGATAAATGGGCAGATAAAACGTAACAGTAGAATAACCTAGAATAGTAAATTTTATTACTGGAAGTCTCTCCCTAGCAATGGACAAACTCAACCACATTTAACACATAAGGAAACCAGGGACAAGAGAGGCTGGCATTCTTCACTCTACAAATACTTAGGGCACTGACCATGTGCCAGGCACTTGCTTGGTGCTAGGGATATAAAAGTAAACATACAAGGTACCCGTACCCAAGGAGCTCACAGCCAAGATAATGGATGACAATGTCCTGAAAGCATAAATTATCACACAGTTTAATAATTATTGTGAGAAATGCATGCTCAAGATGCAAGGTGCAACTCATCCAGGCTTGGGAGCAGCTCTTGTGAATGAGCTGACATGGAAGGAGATGCAGAAGTCAGACAGACAGGTTATGAAGCAGCGTTCTAGGAAGGCCAAAGCGAGGGCAAGTCCAGTGCATTTAATGACCAAAGGAGTGAGAGTACAAGGGAACTCTAGTCCTGGGTTTAGGAGACAATAGTATCCTGATCCCCAGTTCAGTGCTATTTTAGAATAGTGCCTGTGTATTGACAAGTCTGTGAAGATTCCGCACATACATCAATACTCTTGCATAGAAAAAAAAAGAAGCTTACATGGCTCGCGCTTTACCAGTGTAGACATTAGGATTCTCTAAACTGTCTTGCTTAAAATGTTTCTTTAGAGGAATAATTATTTCCTATTTTAGCTTTTCATTTCCTTCCAAATGTTTATATCAATTGGGTCATGCCATACAATTCTTCAGTCTGGAAGGGATTTAAGGTTTCATTGTTTTGGCAACCAAGGGAGTGCAGGGTCAGGGTGGAGTAGGGCTCAGTGGGAGCAATGCCCACCCTGGTGCAGCAATAAATGGGGCATTCTCTGCAGGGAACTTAAGAATTAATAATAAAATTGACCAAAATCCCTCTGCTTTTTATTATCACCACCAATTCTGAATAACGTCAACAATAAATACTTACTGCCAAGACAAACTTCTCTTACTGACCCCTCACTGTTTGCATGGCACTGCATTGTGTATATACCTGTGCATGCAGAAAACCAGCCCTGAACAGGCATTAGAAACACCCAAAGTGTCCATATTAGCCACAGTTAGCTGATATGGCCACACCCTCGCCATTCAATTTTCTTCTGTTAACATAGCTTAAGCAGTCAAAATCAGACATATCAAAACCCCACATCAATGTGCATCTTCCTGAAATTATATTTCTCTCCAATTAGCATTCTCATCTTGACTAGTCTCTATCTATCTCCAGCTGGGACCACAGGGGGCTGACAACCGATGCTGCCACTTCCCTATGCGCAGGTTCACCAGGAGCAGTCTTCGCTCATCTTCTCCAGTTGGGCTATCTGGCACGTGCTTGGAGGGGTAAACACCGAGGGGTCTTTAATACCCAGCTGGATGTCAAAAAACCGCGTGGACAATATCACACTGTAGTTTTTGGTAAAGGTTTCCTGGACAGGATAGCAATCTTTGACTGTATAGATGCCAATCCAGGTTTCATCTATAAGAGGAAAAAAGTTGACTTTTGAATAAAGAAGACAGGCAAGAAGTTCATATTTTTTCTTGTGATGGCAAAATGTACATAACATAAAATTAACCATTTTACCATTTTTAAGTGTTTGGTGACCTTGAGTACATTCACATTTGTTGAACAACCATCAGCACCATCCATCTCCAGAACTTTTTTTCATCTTCCCAAACTGAAACTCTGTCTCCGTCAAACACTAACTTCCCATTCCTCTTCTCCCAGCTCTTGAAACCCACCATTCAATTTTCTGTCTCTATGAATTTGACGATTCTACATGCCTCATGTAAGTGGGATTGTTCTGTATTTATCATTGTCTGACTGCATTGTTTCTCTTAACATTATGTCCTCAAGGTTTACTCAGGTTGTAGCATGTGCTGGTGTTTCCTTTCTTTTTAAGGCTGAATAATATTCTGTTGTATGAATATACCACATTTTGTTTATCCATTTATCTGTTGATGAACATTTGGGTTTCCACCTTTTGGCAATTGTGAATAATGCTGCTGTGAACATGGGTGTACAAATATCTGTTTGAGTCTCTGCGTTCACTTATTTGGGATATATATATATATATATGGAGTTGCTGGGTCATATGGCAGTTTTATCCTTCAATTTTTGAGAAATCACCATACTGCGTTCCACAGCATGAATGCCTGTGTGGTTAAAGCTGTCTTGGGATAGGCATATATCAGCAGCAGGGCAAAGAATGGCTTCACATAAAAGCAGGCTGGTTTGCACACTCATCATGATGGGAGTAGATCTGAACCCTGCAACTGTAGGAAGTGGGGGAAAGAAAAGAAGGCATCTGATTCAAATGTCTGCCTTAGGCAGATGCCTTCCATATCACAGACCTCCGGGTGACCATAAAATGTCAAAATCAAGGCTAAGTTCACAGAAGTCAAAGTGGCAGAGAGGTGCAGGTGGCACTAGAAGGCTGAGGTGTTTCAAATATGAAGCTTAGATCCCACTGCCACGTAGTGAGGAAAGTAACGTGCAGACCTAAGTGGAGGCTTTAAAAAAATTTTGATTAAGCGGATGTTTCCCTAAAAACTACCTTCCTTAAAGAACTTAAACCTTCTTTCCCATCACGCATCCTGAATACAATGCTTAGATCCTTTGAACGCTTACAGGATCTAGCTGACTTTCTGTCCGACCACTCCTGGACCATGATCTGCTCCTGGGGACCCCCGATGGAGTACTGGTCTTCAAAGGTGGAGTTCTGAGGAATGTCAAGAGGGTCCCAGGGCTCTGTCAGGGTCATCTTCGAGCACTGCTTGGTGGCTTGCTCAATCTGAAACATCACTCCATCCTTATACAGCAAAATATATTCAAATAATCTGAAACACAGATGGAAAGAAATAGTTTGGGACTTCATGTTACAATCATCTTGCGTTTTAACAGCACAACACCTTTGATAGATATTACTTTTGGAATAGAAAGAAATTGCTTGCTTGGCAATCACTTAACATTTATAAACACTAGACACATGAAACAACCTGTATATGAAATAATTAGAATTCAGAGGTCAGGCTGAGTATGATGGCTCATCCCTGTAATCCCAGCACTTTGGGAGGCTGAGGAGGGAGTATGATTCGAGCCCAGGAGTTTGAGACCGGCCTGGGCAACATAGTGAGACCCCTGTCGCTGAAAAAAAATTTTAAAAATTAGCCAGACATGGCAGTGCACAGCTGTAGTCCCAGTCACTTGGGAGGTTGAGGCAAAAGGATCACTTGAGCCTGGGAGGTCAAAGCTGCAGTGAGCCATGATCATGCCACAGCACTACATACATCCTGGGTGAGATCCTGTCCACCATCAAAAAAAAAAAAAAAAATACAGGTCAAAAGTGTATATTCACTGGACAAATTTTGACCAAGGACCTAGTGTATGCCAGACCCTGTGCTTAGCATACAAACATGGTGAAGATGTGGCCCTGGCTGAACAGCTGGTTTGTGAACTTTTGTTTACCCACAGGGACACAGAAGGACTTGACTCTTGTTTGGTGCAGTTTCTCTTGCAGCACTCAGTCAAGGAATTATGGGGGTATACTGAATGTAGGAAAAGAACGCACTGAGGACTGGATGGACCGAGTGCCTCTGCCTCACTGCCTCCACTGCCGAGTAGTCATGAGTAAGGGGCTTGGATGCACATAGCTGATCCAGCATGGGCGCAGCCCACATACCCTGCAGGGGCTGAGGTGAGCAAGGACAAAAGCTGAGGAGACCCCAGAGCAAATGACTCCCTCAGCTGAATTTCTGTCCATGCTCTCGGCCTCCTCCCATGACTACCTGCTCAACCTTCCTGGGGAGTGACAGGGAGATATTCAGAGGCTGAGCCCAGGAGTCACCAGCCATGCTGCTTCGGCATCAGTCCTGTATCTTTCTTAAAGCTGAGCCATCTTGGTGTTGGGGGAAGCCTGCTATGTTTCTATACATTTCACTGTCAATCCAAATCTCAGGCCACAGCTGCTGGTCAAGCAAAGTGTGTCTTGCAGCCGTGACCTCAGAAAGTGAAAGCTGCAACACTTGAGGGCTGAAGAGCCTAGAGAGGTGACTTTTCATCAGCAAGTAAAAATCGTCTACAAATTATCTGTGGCTTATGAGACCCAATGCACTAGAGGAGGCTTCAGGGAGGACGTGTGCTCTCCATCCCAAGCCTCAGCTTAAAAATTGTTTTCTTCAGGAAAAAATGTTATAAAGGGTTACTGTCTTTATAGTCAAAACACAGTCATGCATCACTTCATGATCAGCTTATGTTCTGAGAAATGTATCATTAGGTCATTTCATCATTGCACAAACATCATAGAGTGCAGTTACACAAACCTGGATGGTACAGTCTACTACACACCAAGGCTACGCGGTATGGCCTACTGCTCCCAGGGTCCAAACCTGTACTGCATGCGACTGCACTAAATACTGGAGGCAACTGAAACACAATGGTAAGGATTTGTGTATCTAAACATAGAAAAGGTGCAGTAAAATTATGGGATAAAAGATAAAAAATGGTACGCATGTATAGGATACTTGCCATGAATGGAGCTTACAGGACTGGAAGTTGCTCTGGGTAGGTGAGTGAGTGAGTGAGTAGTGAGAGAATGTGAAGGCCTAGGACATTACTATATACTACTGTATGTTTTATAAACATTGTACACTTAGGTTACACTAAATTTATAAAAACTATTTTCTTTTCTTCAATAATACATTAATTTTAGCTTCCTGTAACTTTTTAACTTTATATATATATATTTTTAACTCTTTGACTCTTTTGTAGTAAGACAGCTTAAAACACACATTGCACAGCTATACAAAAATATTTTCTTTCTTTACATCCTTATTCAATATGCTTTTTTCTATTTTAAAATTTACTTTATTTTTAAAAAAACTTTCGTGTTAAAAATTACAACACAAACACAGATATTAGCCAGGCCTACACAAGCTCAGGATCATCAGTATCACCCTCTTTCACTCCCACACCTTGTCCCACTGGAAGGCCTTCAGGGCCAGTAACATGCATGGAGCTGTCACCTCCTGTGATAACAATGTTTTCTTCTGGATACTCCTCAAGGACCTGCCTGAGGCAGTTTCACAGTTATCTTTTATGTAAGCGAGAGCACATTCTAAAGTAATGATAAAAGTATAGTATAGTAATTATATTCATGTGGCCAAAAACCATACGAAAAAAAGCTCAACATCACTGATCATTAGAGAAATGCACATCAAAACCACAAAAAGATACCATCTCATGCCAGTCAGAATGACTATTACTAAAAAATCAGAAAACAACAGATGCTGGCGAGGTTGTGGAGAAAAAGGAACACTTTTACACTGTTGATGGGAGTATAAATTAATTCAACCATTGTGGAAGACAGTGTGGCAATTCCTCAAAGACCTAGAACCAGAAATACCATCAACCCAGCAATCCCATTACTGTGTATATACCCCAAGGAATATATATCATTCTATTCTAAAGATATATGCATGCCTGTGTTCATTGCAGCACTATTCACAATAGCAAAAGACATGCAATCAACCCAAATGCCATCAATGATAGACTGAAAATGTGGTACATATACACCATGGAATACTATGCAGCCATAAAAAGGAACAAGATCATGTCCTTTGCAGGCACATAGGTGGAGTTGGAAGCCATTATCCTCAGCAAATTAATGCAGAAACAGAAAAGCAAATATCACATGTTCTCACTTATAAGTGGGAGCTGAATGATGAGAACAAATGGACACATGAGGGGAGCAACACACACTGGGGCTTGTTGGTAGAGCCTGGGGGAGTGAGAGCATCAATAATAGCTAATGGATGCTGGGCTCAGTACCTAGGTGATGGGATGATCTGTGCAGCAAAACACCATGGCACACGTTCACTTGCGTAACAAATCTGCACATCCTGCACATGTACCCCTGACTTACAGTAAAAGTTGAAGGAAAAATAAAGCATAATATAGTAATTACTTATATGTTAGAATTGTATACAACTGGCAGCACAGTAGGTTTGTTTACACCACCATCACCCCAGACACGTGAGTAATGCATTGCGCTACCACATACTATGGCTATGAGGTCGCTAGGCAATAGAATTTTTCAGCTCCATTGTAATCTCATGGGACCACCATTGTATATGTGATCCTTCATTGACTGACACGTCATTATGAAGCACATCAATGTATTATTAGTAGCTGTATGCTTCAGATTTCTATGAGATAGTATGGAAATAAAAACATGACATCATTTTACACATTTATATGTATCCTGCTTATTTCAGAAAAGATTTGAAATGGCTTACGAGGGTAAAAATAACCCAGATACATACTTTTAGAAGTGAGAATGAATATAGAACGAAATATAAGTGTGCATTTTATGAGATATTGCTCAAAAATGGAACTAATTTTTTATAATATGCATGCAGGGTCAACATAACACTGTTAGCCCTTTGAAAAAGTTTGGAGTTGTATTGCCACTGTTTTCTCATAACCAGCTAAAATCGCTGGCACAACAGAGCCTAAGCACTGGCTGAAGAAACACAGCAACATTAACCCAACTCTTAGAGCATTGTTCATTTGTAAATGTGGGGATTGTTGTACATACACAAATCCTGTTCTGTGATACTTTTAATGACAAGTGGGCCACCCAAAATTGTCTTCATTGTTCTCTTCACCACCAGCAGTATCTTGTGCTTTCCCCAGTGCTAGGCATCTGGGCTAGAAAGGCATTCCTAGCGTTTGCTGATATCCCTATTATGTGCTTCTCAGACTGCAATGATTGTTCCCTGGAGAGTATGTAGCCATGTGCAGGAGAGGGGCTTTCCTTCTTGAGATCATCGCCAAATCCACAGGATCACAGAAGTGTTATTAACATAGTTTGACTGTGTCCCCACCCAAATCTCATCTTGAATTGTAGCTCCAATAATTCTCATGTGTCATGGGCGGGACCTGGGGGGAGGTAACTGAATCATGGGACCGGGTCTTTCCCATGCTTTTCTCCTGGTAGTGAATAAGCCTCACGAGGTCTGATGGTTTTATAAATGGGAATTCCCCTGCATAAGCTCTGTCTTGCCTGCCACCATGTAAGAAGTCCCTTTGCTCTTCCTTCATCTTCTGCCACTGTGAATCCATCAAACCTCTTTCCTTTATAAATTACCCAGTCTCAGGTATGACTTTATTAGCAGCAGGAGAACAGACTAATACAGTCATCCTGGCCTCATATTTGTCATACATGTCATTCTAGCCTCATATTTGCCTCCCTCACCAGAGTTTACTAGACAGAAATGAGACAATGAGATTCTTTCCTCTCGACCTGTGTCATTGCGACCGAGGTCTAATAGCCTCTTGTGTGACTGAACATATCACATGTAAACTTAGAAGCTGAGGGAGGCTATTTTCCAAAATGCAAATGGAATAGGATTAAAGAATGAAGCAGAGAGAAGCACTAGCAAACTGGGATTCCAACAGTTGTTCATTTCCTGGATGCCCTTTTTTCCTGAGATGCTTGGAGCGCCCCCACTTACAGAGTTACAATAAGCTTCCTTTGCTCTAATAAACTTTCCTTCCTTTTTTGGCTTGCAGTTTTTTATGCTACTCAGTTCTATCATTTCTTTTTTCTTGTTTTTTTTTTTTTTTTGAGACGGAGTCTTGTTGTGTCACCCAGACTAGAGTGCAGTGGCGCGATCTCGGCTCACTGCAAGCTCCGCCTCGCAGGTTCACGCCATTCTCCCGCCTCAGCCTCCGAGTAGCTGGGACTACAGGCGCCCACCACCACGCCCGGCTAGTTTTTTGTATTTTTAGTAGAGACGGGGTTTCACCGTGTTAGCCAGGATGGTCTCGATCTCCTGACCTCGTGATCCACCCGCCTCGCCTCCCAGAGTGCTGGGATTACAGACTTGAGCCACCGCGCTCGGCAGTCCTATCATTTCTGATAGAGTCGAGGACTCCAGCACTCCATGGAGAACCCCAGGGAGCAGCTGCCAGCACAGCTGTGCTGGGAAAGGCCCGGCATGGCCCTGTGTGCCACCAAGGGCCACAGATGCCTGGTCAGTCACCTGCAACAGAAGGGCAGGGGACAGCAGGGAGGGAATATCACAGCTTCACTGTTTCCCTGAGGGCAGCTCTGCCCACATACAGAAGGAAAATTTAATTTTAAAATGAAAATTCTAGACCCGGAACAATCACTACAAAATGTTAACGTTTGTTAAATCTGGGTGGTCTGAACATAAGTGTTTGTTTTGGTATTCTCTGTACTTTTCTATGTTTTCAAAATATTTACTTTCTAAAAAAGTAGACATCATCTGATATTGAGGTTATGTTGACTGTACCTTAAGTTAAACTGAAAATAATAAATTAATGGAAAACAAAATAGAACTATATAATTCATTTGTTTTCAAAATCCCATGTGGATATAAAGGCTAGTACTGCTTTATGATAAATTTTAGAAAACATTTTAAGGATACTGTAATGGCGTGTATGTTTATGTGAGCATATTAACAGTTAGGACATAAGTCTCTCCATCACAAATAGAATACAGGGCCTGTGGCCTGACAGGGACCAAAGGTCAAAATGCAGAGATCAGCCACGGTTGAGATGAGTAATCAGAGTGGGGATGCTGTACGGGAATAACCCGTGGACCCAAGGGATTAACAGACTTTGAGAGGAACTGGATTCCTGGAGGCGAGATCAAAGCCTGGCTCTGTCACAGAGGCAATTGTGAGATGAGAGGCACCAGCGCCCCCGCTGGGGCACAGTCAAGCAAGGTGAGACAGGGAGGCAGACCAGCCCAGGTCAACAACAGCAGGCAAACTTCGCCTCCTTCCTGGCCAGGCACCAAGCAAAGCACAGTTCACTGGGAGGGGCAGGCAAGTTCCCACAAAGGCCCTGCTGCTGCTGAGCCTCAGCTGTGAGCAAGGTCAGGTTGGCTAGGCCCCGCCAAAGGGTCAGAAGGCCAAGCTCTCCACGGCAACCACAACACACAGGACGGGCCAGCAGCCTGTTTTGCTTCTCACCATATGGGACAAAGGATTTTTGCTGCTTTTAATAAAATTCTCAGGTTACACTGACAATTTCCATTGTTTCCTGCAAATCCATTTCCCTAAAAGTAGGCTCTTGCATCACCATGTTTTCTGAAACACTAAAAATCTGGGGAAGTTTTCTTGCTTTTGAAAATAGTTTTTTTTTTAGTAAAATGGATTCATGATCAATATAAAAAAACGAAAACAATCTAGGGATGGAAAGGAAAGCAAAAATTGCCCAGAAACTCTAATTTGCAGAAATAACAACTCTGTACATGTGTCTGGACATATATTCTTCTAAATATATCTTTATGTGCATCTTAATTTTTATATCTAATTTTTTATGTTTTAATTGTGGCAAGATGCACATGACAAAAATGTACCATCTTAGCCATTTTTAAGTGTACAGTTCAGTAATGTTAAATATATTCACATTGTGGTACATCAGTCTCCAGAACTCTTGCAAAATTGAAACTCTATATCCATTAAACAATAATAACCCATTCCTCCCTCTCCCCAACTCCTGGCAACCACCATTCTATGAGCTTGGCTACTCTACATAGCTCATGTAAGTGGAATCACACAATATTTGTTCTTTTCAGTTAATATAATATCTTCAGAGTTTATCTGCGCTAGAGCATGTGTTGGCATTTCCTTCCTTTTTAAGGCAGAATAACATCCCACTGTATGTATACACCATATTTCATTTATCCATTCATCCACTGATGGATTCCTAGGTGTTTCCTAATTTGGGCTACTGTGAAAAATGCTGCTATAAACATAGGTGTACAAACACTGCATCGATTTTTCAATATGTACTCTACTCATTTTACGCAAATGAGTACCTATTTATTTGTTTTCTAACCGTGCATTTTAAATTCAACAATTTGCCCTTGTTAATCTTTTAAGTGAAAAGATAAATCTAATTTTTCTAATTTTTATCATAAAATATTTTAAATATGCAGAACAGTTGAAGAACTAGTATAATGACCACTTTTATGTCTGCCTCCTAGGCTCAACAATCCTCTATATTTTACTGTATTTTTTCTATTTTTCTAAGTATTTCCTTAAAACAAGAGCTTCTGCCACATGGTCCCAATAGGACTGTATCTTAGAAATAAAAATTCATTCCCTGATATCTGCTGCATATTCAAGTGGTGCCCCAAATACATCTTAAAGTTGGTTTTTCAAATCAGAGTCCAATTAAAGTTCAAGCATTATATTTGGTTATGTCTCTATCAAAAATCTGGAGCAGTACTCCTACCTTTTTATTTTCCAACATGACATTGACTCTTTGAAGAGTTCAGGTTTGCAGATATTCCACATTGTGGTTTTTTTTGGCAGTTTCCTCATGGTGTGATTTAAATTGCTCTTTGAGCTTTTGCCATTCTTATGAAATGGATATGAAGTCTAAAGGCTCTTTTTTATTTGAGTTCCAAGATATTTGTAAACAACATGTCATTGGTGAAGTTGTACACTTCAGACTTTATCATATCTGAAGACAGGTGATGTACCTTCCCACTATTAATGCTGCTAACTTTGATCACCAAGTTACATGGTAACTCCAGATATCTGTTATAAAAGTGTTTCCTTTTGCAATTGGCAAGTAATTGATGAGTGATACTTTGTGATGTTGGAAATGTTGTATTACCCAATAGTTATCACCTAATGGTTTTAGGTAAAACCATTTCCTGAATCAATTATTTCACTGGGAGTTGGGATCATAGTACCAATTGTATAGTAAATGACATCCATCTATCTTAATCTGCTGAGTACCACACTGGACTCGTGGATTTATTATTTATTCAATGTAGGACAAACAATTAAAGTCATTATTCCTTTTGATGCTAAAATTTGCCCAAGTTTGGTCAGAGGGAGCTCCTTCAAGTTGGTATATGTATCTTCTGACATAATCCTATTGGTCTCTGAGTGCTTCCTGATGTTCTATGACACAAGGTGGCACAGGCTAACCTTGAACTTTCCCTGCCCTAGATCTGAAATCAAGCATTTCTCTAAAAAACTCTAGTTACCCTTAGTGGGGAAACAACTTAGAAACTGACATCAGGGCACTAGATGTGCTCATTGCCATTGAGACGTCATTGCTTTGAACGCCTTTCAGTAGTCAGAGTTTCCAATTAAAAAAAAAAAAAAAACTCATGAATTAATATAGATATTTTCCATTTAAATTAACATTACAGGTTTTCCCCCTATTTTTTGTATTTATATATCTTTTCTCTTAAAATCAAAATCATGCTTCCTGAAAACATTGACAAAAACATTTATTTGCTTTATTCTATAATTTTGAAATAATAATAACTTCAAAACTATTATAAATAATAAAATTACCGAGCGAAGTTTAAGATTTCATTGTAGCTCTTCTTATCCGTAGAATATAATTCCCTAGTATCGAGAGTCAGTATTGTGTCAAAAATTTACTTAGAATAAGCCTATTCTCTGTGTGGTTATGTTTCCAGATTGATAGATCATTAGGTTCCTTTCTTTTAGTTTGTTCCCAATTCAGGGACTTCACACTTTTCCTCTCTGACTTTATTATTTAAATATGTAAAAATTTTCGTATTTCAAAACTCAAAATGACAGAAAATGGTACATTGAGGCAAGTTCCTCTTCCATCCCTATCTCCTCTTCCCCATTCCTCATGCTCCTTATAGATAACACTTTTCAGCTGCTTCCATTTTGTTTTTCCTGTATGTCTGTCAAAAAATAAGCAAACGCATATATGAATTATTATTTTCTCCTCTTCTTTACAGAAAGAGTAGCATGCTATATTGACTTTTTTGCATCTTGCTTTCTCCATTCCCCACTAATGCCTAGAGACTATCCTCATTTTTTTATGGCCATATAAATTTACTGTGAGCTAATATCATTATTTATTTATCCAGTCTTCTACCAATAAACATTGAGTTGTTTCTATTCCTTTGATATTAACAAAAATAATGACCTTGCGTTGTGCTGTTTTTGAGTTGTATGTTTAGGGTAAATTATTAGATGTGGAATTACCAGGTCAAAAGGTAAAAGTATTTGTGGTTTTGTTAAATATTACCAGATTTCTCTCCACAGGGTTGTACTATTTTGCATTCCTATCAGCATTATATTATAGTGCCTTTTTTCTTTATAGTCCTGCCAACAGAGCATGTCGTCAAACTTAAATTTGTGCTAATCTGAGGAGTAAGAAATGGTATTTGACTACTAGGTTTTTGTTAAGAACATTTTTAGTAAGTATAACATCTATAAGAGGGGTCTTTAAAAAGTTCACGGAAAAAGTGTATTACGAAAAAACTATGTATGGATTCCAACTTTTTTCACCAAAATAAACTCACAACACTTGTTATAACATGCCTAAACAGGATCCAGTTTGAGGCACTAAGAAGGATAAGACATCAGTCTGGATAGAGCTCCTATCAGAGCAACATGCATTCTGCTAAAATGAAGCAAGAACAAATATTAAATTTATTTTGAGGCTCAAGCGGCAGAACGGTGAAATCACTGATGTTTTACAAAAAGTTTATGTGACATTGCTCCAAAGAAGCAGTTACAAATAAATAACTCATTTCACAAAGATAGGACTCAGTATTAAGATTAAGATTTAAGATTTAAGCCCATAGTGGCAGTTCATCCACATCAATTTGTGAGGAAAAAAAAATCTTAGGCCAGGTGTGGTGGCTCACGCCTGTAATCCCAGCACTTTGGGAGGCCAAGGTGGACAGATCACAAGGTCAGGAGATTGAGACCATCCTGGGTAACATGGTGAAACCCCCTGTCTACTAAAAATACAAAAAAATTAGCCGGGC